TCTCATGGTTCGTCCACCCCTCCGATTTCCCCCGCTTCATTCTTCCCCTCCCGCTACCTTCTTCTTCTTTTTTTTTTTCTTAACATATATTTTTTGCAGCTAATCTTAATGATCACTCTAGAGAGTTTTAGCTCTGTTTTATGGAGGAAGAAACCACCCCACAAGTCTAGTATATAGCAGAGCTATTGGAACAGCAGCAGAGTTTTGGATCTCCAAATCTAATGATTTTTCCCATAAAAGCTTCCTGACAGACTTGGCAAGGCTGAGGTGAAAGCCCTGGGGAGAGTGGTGGCTTTCAGACTTTGCTGGGCACGAGAGTTATGGGTGGAGCTCAGCATTTCAGGTTCCTTGACCTTGTCCACTGAAGGCTCTTGATACTCTAGTCCAGCTTGGGCCTGAAAATCTGCTTTTTTGTCAAGCACTCCAGATGATTTTCATGCAAGTGTCACCCCCTGGAAGATATGAGTTGTGAGATCAGGGTTTGTTTATCTGATTATACTTTGTCAATGGATAGGCCTTAGCACAGACTTGGGAGTCTTGATGATGATGAAGTTGCCTCAGGAGACAAATTTAACTTAATGCTCTGGCAGAATTATCTCTGAAATCTTCTATGAATATGCACACAAAAATAAAGGCTTAGTCACTCTGTCCTCAGACACTTCAAATATGCAGGCTAATGGCCAGAGGCAGAGAGATCAGGAATCAATCCATCCTCCCTCCCTTTCTTCCTTCCTTCCTTTCTGTCCCCCTCCCCCTCTTTTATCATTCCACAAAGCTCCATGACCACCTACTTCACGAAGGCCCTGTGGTACAAAGAGTGGTAAAGCCCTTTCCTGCACTCAAAGTCCTATATGACAGATACGTACCCAATGGTAACTCCCTAAATTGTACAGATCCTGCCCTTTGGGAATTTAGAGAACACGAGGGATTCTGGAAGCCTTCATGAAGGAGGCAGACCCCTTGAAGCCATGGAGGACTGAGGGGAGACCAGCTGTGGGCAAAGGCATGGAGGTGGGAAAATGAGGGATGTGGTAAAGCATGTGAGCCAATTGGGCTGAAGTGGAGTGTGCATAATGGGGTATGTGAGGCTGGTAAGCAGGTGGGGACAGTAACTGCAATAAAGAATAACCTAAGGAAGAATTGTGGATAAGGAACTGGGAAGCCACAACTACTCTTGGTGTATTTTTTATGCGAGGATTTTCTGCTCATTCTCATTTCATTACCACTTTAGTTCTGTGAATTTGAGAGTGGAACGGGTGTGAGGAATTTCACAAAGGCTGTGGGAGAAAGCACTGTAGAGAGCAGGAGGAAGAACAAGATGAGCTTGCTCTAAGACATACCGTGTTAGATTGGTTGACTTGAACCTTTATCCTTTTTGGTGCTCAGTAGACCAATAGTTGACTCTACTCTTTTAAGTATTTGAGATCTCTGTAGAGTTTTTCCCCAGGTTGCATTTTGAGAACTAAGTAATGAATAACAAGCCATCAATTAAGATGGGACTCAGAAATGCTTCCCACAGAGAGGATCTTCCTCTTCCTGTTGACCGTATTGAAATGACATTAATAATGCATCTGCTGCTTCTTAAATGGACGAGTAATGTCTATTAATGGAATGTGTTTATCATAGCAGGACTGTCAGAGCAAAAGAAAAATTAAAGGATAAATCGCTTTGTGGGACCTTTTGTTAAACCCTTTCCACACCATGCCTTTCCCACTCTTGTCCCTTCTGTGCCATCCAGGATACTTAGGACGCTGAAGGAAGGCCAGGTCTGCAGATGGTCCTCAGAGGCCTTCCTTAACGTTGCTGTGACTTCCTTTTGTGCCCCAGCACAGACTCAAATCTCCTCCCTCTAGGCCTTGCATGAACCCTCCTCTCCTTGGGGTGGGAAGTAGAAACACATTCACTATGTGTAAGTAATAACTGAACCTCCAAGAGCCATATTATTTTAAGGACTTTGTGGGGTTTTAAATTTCTATTCGTCTTCCTTTAATTTTTTGGGGAACATTTTTTGGGTTTGTTAGCCTCCTCAGGCTAAAGGAAAAGCTTTAGTACTGGGGGAAGCCCTTACCAGGGCTGGAGAGAAAAGGAGGAAACCATGTGTCTTCGGGGGCCACGGGGTGACCAAATGATACCTGCAAGCCTCTGATGGAAACACAGTGATGCTATTGGCCCCCTTCAGACAGCCACCCACCTGCAGCCAGCCCACGGGTTCCCTCCTGCAAGCTCCTTCTCATCTCCCACAGAATGGGAGTTTTTCTTGATTAAAGGGGTGATTGCCTTGTAATTCTCCTGCCTCTAAGGCTCACTCTATTGCACGATACTTCCTCCCTTATAATCTCTAAAATTCATAGGAGAAGGAAGAGAGAATGGTATGGGGGAAAGGTTGGAATCAGAGTCCAGAGGGCCTGCTTTCCACTAAGTAGAGAGTCCAACACATTTCTCTGGGGGGACATGTGGAGGCTCTGTCTGTTTCAATTTCAACACTTGAGAATCCACCATGTTGTTGTTGTTTTAAGATTTACTTATTTATTCTAGAATGAGAGAGAGAGCACAAGCAGGGGTAGGAACAGAGGGAGAGGGAGAGAATCTCAAGCAGACTCCCCGCTGAGCACAGAGCCTGACACAGGGCTCGATCCCAGGACCTGGAGATCATGACCTGAACCAAGATCAAGTCGGATGCTCAACCAACTGAGCCACCCAGGCGCCCTGTGGATCCACCATATTTTTAACTAGAGATTGTCCCAGGACCCAGAGCAGACCAAGATGGCCACAGCAGTGGGTCCAAACCACACAGAACAATAGGCTTAAAATGTTGGCAGGTCTTAGGAGTAAGTGAGATGACATAAGAAAAAAGGTCCTTTAGAAATTCAATTTATAATTCCCCATCACTTTATTTCTGGTACCTTAGGTCATTCAGCTAGACAAAGTCTTGTGAACCAGATGAGAACGGATAAATTCACCCACTGCCAATCCTTCTTTCAGGTGGACAACACTCATTATAATGAAGCATCATGTAGACTTCTTTGGGAAAGGAGAGGGAAGGGATGTGGCGGTGAGGCAGGGAGGAGTTTTGACTACTCTGAGGACAGGCCATTCACCCCTGACCCCTCACCCAGGAAGTGAGGGTTCAAGGCACTCAGCCAGTTCTTGGCATGCCAGGGTGCTCTCTGCCCCAGCAGCAGTGGGAGCTCCCACAGATGGTGCCCATTCTCTTGACTGACCCCTCACGCTGATATGGCATCACGAGAGAGTCTGTTGCCCTTTGAGGAGCCCTATACGACTGGGTCTCAGCAGCGGCCTCCCTCCACAGTGGCAGGGCAAATGTGCGAGCTACACACTAAGTGTCATCCAGAGAAACCTCAGGCTCTAGAGGACTGAGCCCTGACTGGATGGCTGGGAGACCTAGGACTAATTTTAGCTTCTCAGGTGACCCAGGACCTTGTTCGATCAAATGGGTAATGGGATTGAGAGTTACCTCTCCGGCTGGGTTCACAGAGTGAGTCACATGAGTTGATGTGGAAACTGTAAAGCACTGTGCTCACGGTGACAGTGGACATCATTGCTTGGGCTGGAGAGCCAGATCACCTGGATTCAAATTCTGGCTCATCTAGCCTCCTAGGGAAACATAAGGATAATGATTGCACTGACCACGTAGGTGTTAGGGTTGTGATGGTTAAATGAGCCCATACACGTCATGCATGTAGAACGCTGAGCAAGTAGTACGTGCTGAGACTCCCTCACTGGTGACGATCCCTGGAACAGGGTGCCTGGGGGGCTTGTAAGACTGTGCAGATGGGGTTAGGTAGGAACTGGAGAAACTGTCACTCAGAACCAGTAGGCAACTTTCTTTCAAGTGGAGAATACATCGTACTTTTGGAAACATCCCTGACTTAGAATTTTATAATAATGGAAATGTAAAAAGCATAGGTCCCTTCTCCCACTTCGGGTATATTGAGTGTCGAGCTAAGCTTGTAGGGGTGGTGGGCTGGCCTCCCGTGTGGACGTAGATCGCAGAGACTTGGGGTTGTAGCTTTCCAGAAGCATTTTTCACAGTGTTTTGACCATGACCCCAGGAAGAAATACATTCCACATCATATACACACACTCATACTCCAAACAACAGTTTCATGAAACTCTGCCTACCTTACTTCCTTAACAAGCACACTGATATTTCTCTCTCTCTTTTTGGGAGGGGGATATGCTGTTTGTAACCCAGTAAGTGGATATTACGACCCACTGATGGGTCTGGACCTAGTAGTCTAAGAAGCTGCGCTATGAGGGAACCCACAGGAGGGGTCTGGCCTGACCGAGAGAGTGGCCCTTTCCCCTCCAGTACTCCTTCATGTGGTCCCTAAAGCTTTACGATGGTTCTATCAGAAACTGCAGGCTGGTCTTGGCTGAGTCATGGGGGGTTCAGGGAGGGCTGTCCGCACTGCTGGGCAAACAAGAGCAGAGCCCCTTCTCTAAAGCCAGAGTGGCAGTTAGGATGAGCCACACACGGAGGACAGGGGGCCTTGAGTTTCAGCCTTAGCAGCAGCACACAGTAGGTACTCAGAAAAGGGCTGAGCAAACAAGAACAGGGGAGAGTGCCCTGGACTGGGGCTAGTTGTAGGCTCTGCCCTATGACCTGGGTCCTCAGTTACCTGACCTGAGAAATGAAGGCCTGGGTCTCTGGGGATCTCCCAGCAGAACAAACAGGCTAGGCCACAAAGCCTGGAACTGGCTTCGGGCAGTGGAGAGACCCAATGTGGCACCATCCTATATCTAGCTTATGCAAGGGTAAGGGGCCCTGCTGGTGTGGTGTTTTTCAGCCTCAAGCTCTTCTTTTTTTTTTTTTTATTCTTATGTTAATCCCCATACATTACATCATTAGTTCTAGATGAAGTGTTCCATGAT